GGCACACTACAGGTCTCAATGATGCCGGATTTGTGATGGAGGACCTGTATAGGGTGGTAAGGTATTTAAATCTCCTGTCTTGTTTTTTGGTGTGTTGATAATAAGGGAGACTTCTGTTTGGTTAGTCGGAGCTAAGAACAGTGTGTTCGGGTAGTTTTTCATTAATCCATCTACGATAATTTTTTCAAAATTATATAATAAACACGATACATAACATACAAAGATGATAAATACACCCCACAGTAGAATAAACATAAATACGAGATGTGGTTGCCAGACAACTTGTATGAGTGATGGCAAGAACAACATTTTCTCTACTCCAACATCAGAGATAATGTGTTTCTGGGGGTAACTGTAGAAAATTATTCCTTTCGTAAGTAAGTTTATTCAAGTATACACAAATACAGTTACATAGATTATCATACATAACAGCATATGTGTAGAAAACCTAAAAAAAAGTCAGACAGAATGACTTATTTCCATTGCCTTTACTCATAGCGTCATTTCTTCTAAAAATGGAGTTACATGAGAATGGGAGTGTTCTTCTTTATTTATTCTACCATATCAATGTGGAGACAACTTATGCACAATGTAACTTTTACACAAACCACAAGTGTACACTTTGCTTGTTTACAAAACAACTTGCATTCGCCTGGTTTGTTTACATAACTCTGCACCTGCACTCGCTCATTCTCTCTCACACACACACACACACACACACACACACTCACTCTCTCACTCATTTATTCGTTTATTGTGTTTACTCATCCCTGACCCTACGTTAAGACTACAAATATTTTAAGGTAAGTAATGAGTGAACTGTATATGCATTTTATCGCTCTGGGATGCTTAAATGTTATAGAATATTATGTGTGGATGGGGTGGCCTGGTTACCATACCATGCCTGGCTGACTACCATACATACCACACTTGATTTCTTACAATACTACTTGTCTCACCATAGATTAAGATTACAAATATTTTAGGGTAAGTAATGAGTGTACTATATGTGTATTTTACTTTTTTATTGTTTTTTAATGCCTTAATATATGTTACTGTAAATTTGTTATCTAGTGTTTGTATGCATTTATAAGTGGAAAAAAGCGGTGTTCCACTTTATGGTGATTTCTGCTTTACAGCAGTAGCCTGGAATCTAACCTGCCGTATAAGTGGGGCCCTACCGTGCTCAAATTCTAGCGGCTTCAAATCAAGCAGGAGAAAGCTGGTAGGCCCACATGTGAGAGAATGGGTCTGTGTGGTCAGTGTGCACCATACAAAAAAAGTCCTGCAGCATGCAGTGAATGAGAAAAAAAAAACTCCGACCGTTTTTTAATTAAAATGCCGACTTTGTGGTATATTTTCATATAGTATTTATGGGTGTATTCTCGTTTTCCTGGTCTCATTTGATAGAATGGAAAACATATTATAGAAATAGATTTGATTTTGATTGGTTTTACTATAAAAAGAACCTGGAAATGGAGCTCAAAGTAGGGAAATGTTTGATTTTTGCCGATGTTCACAAGTAAACAAATGATGTCATTGTCCAATAAATGTCCAACTAGCCATTCTAATATGCAATCATGAATTGGTTGACATTATTTATGCAATTATTACAATATTTCAGTAGTCTGCATAACAGTAAATCTTCTATTTTTGTTTGGATAAAAATTCAAAATAGAAAGCAAGAGTAAAATCATAAGGGCCTGGAGACGTGACTGATGAACAAAGGAAATGTTATTTTAGAACCAGGAATGTCTGCATTGTTCATTCTGGACCCTATTTTGAAATTGTCATATTTTTTAATTTTCGTGAAATTGGCCAAATTGCAAATTTCAGACCACATTATTGGGTAGTTGAAATTGGTAAATGGGCAGTTTCTTGTACTAAATCGATAGAAAAAATGGAGTTCTAAAGAAACAGTTTGGTCGACTGGAACTATGGAATTAGCCGAAAATACAGCTCAAAGTGGGTGAAATCGCCGATTCGTAAATATCGCCGAGGTTGCTAACTTCGCGAGAGTGTAATTCTGTCAGTTTTTCATCAAATTTCGTTCTTTTTGTGTCATTAGCATCGGGAAAAGATTCTCTATCATTTTGTAAGATTTTTTTTTTTTTTTTTTTTTAATTTTGCGACACCAGGAGACACCTCCGGATTTGGGGTTGTGACAGTCAAGGGGTTAATTTGTGTGAAATTGGCCAAATTGCCAATTTCTGACCACTTTATTGGGTGGTTGAAATCAGTCAGTGGGCAGTTTCTTGTACTCATTTGATAGAAGAAATGGAGTTCTGAAGAAATAGCTATGAGTTTTGTCAACTGAAAGAATGGAATTGGCCAAAAATAGGGCTCAAGGTCAGGAAAATTGCCGATGCATATACAGTGGACCCCCGCATAACGATATTAATCCGTTCATGAGAGCTCATTGTTATGCGAAATTATCGTTATGCGAATGAATTTTCCCCATAAGAAATAATGGAAATCAAATTAATCCGTGCAAGACACCCAAAAGTATGAAAAAAAAAAAAATTTACCACATGAAATATACATTTTCCTACACACAAAGAGAAGGATACATGCACAATAGTAGAGTAGTACATGCACAGTATATATTGTGCATGTACTACTCTACTAAATGAAGAATAAATGACACTTACCTTTATTGAAGATGCAGCAATGACTGATGAGACACTGTGTCCTGGGAGTGCCTTTTCCTCCTGAGTACTGTAGGTCCTGTTTGGCATTTTCTTCCAGAACATGCCTTATCACACTGTGTTTGTCACTACGATTCTTAAATCTCTCAAACCAACCTTTGCTGGCTTTAAATTCACCAATAAGAGCACTAGTTCCAGGCGTTTTTCCCTGTTCACCTGGGTGTTAGTCGACTGGTGTGAGTTGCATCCTGGGAGACAAGATTAAGGACCCAAATGGAAATAAGTTAGACAGTCTTCGATGACACACTTTTTTGGGTTATCCTGGGTGGCTAACCCTCTGGGGTTAATTGTTTCTTGGTATTCTCAATAAGCCACACCAACAATGGTGCTACAGCAGCAGCAGCTGACAGTGCTACAGCAGCAGCAGCAGCAGCAGCAGCAGCAGCTGACAGTGCTACAGCAGCAGCAGACGATGCTACAGCAGCAGCAGCAGACGGTACTACAGCAGCAGCAGCAGCAGCTGACGGTGGTACAGCAGCACCAGCAGCTGACAGTGCTACAGCAGCAGCAGCAGCAGCTGACAGTGCTACAGCAGCAGCAATGCTACAGCAGCAGCAGATGGTACTACAACAGCAGCAGCAGCAGCTGACAGTGCTACAGCAGCAGCAGCTGACAGTGCTACAGCAGCAGCAGATGATGCTACAGCAGCAGCAGACGGTACTACAGCAGCAGCAGCAGCAGACGGTACTACAGCAGCAGCAGCAGCAGCTGACGGTGGTACAGCAGCAGCAGCAGCTGACGGTGGTACAGCAGCAGCTGACAGTGCTACAGCAGCAGCAGCAGCTGACAGTGCTACAGCAGCAGCAGCAGCTGACAGTGCTACAGCAGCAGCAGCAGCAGCTGACAGTGCTACAGCAGCAGCAGACGATGCTACAGCAGCAGCAGACGGTACTACAGCAGCAGCAGCAGCAGCAGACGGTACTACAGCAGCAGCAGCAGCTGATGGTGGTACAGCAACAGCAGCAGCTGACAGTGCTACAGCAGCACCAGCAGCTGACAGTGCTACAGCAGCAGCAGACAATGCTACAGCAGCAGCAGATGGTACTACAACAGCAGCAGCAGCAGCTGACAGTGCTACAGCAGCAGCTGACAGTGCTACAGCAGCAGCAGACGATGCTACAGCAGCAGCAGACGGTACTACAGCAGCAGCAGCAGCAGACGGTACTACAGCAGCAGCAGCAGCTGACAGTGGTACAGCAGCAGCAGCAGCTGACAGTGCTACAGCAGCAGCAGCAGCTGACAGTGCTACAGCAGCAGCAGCAGCTGACAGTGCTACAGCAGCAGCAGCAGCTGACAGTGCTACAGCAGCAGCTGACAGTGCTACAGCAGCAGCAATGCTACAGCAGCAGCAGATGGTACTACAGCAGCAGCAACAGCTGACAGTGCTACAGCAGCAGCAGCAGCAGCAGCTGACAGTGCTACAGCAGCAGCAGACGATGCTACAGCAGCAGCAGATGGTACTACAGCAGCAGCAGACGGTACTACAGCAGCAGCAGCAGCTGACGGTGGTACAGCAACAGCAGCAGCTGACAGTGCTACAGCAGCACCAGCAGCTGACAGTGCTACAGCAGCAGCAGACAATGCTACAGCAGCAGCAGACGGTACTACAACAGCAGCAGCTGACGGTGGTGCAGCAGCAGCTGACGGTGCTACAGCAGCAGCAGCAGCTGACAGTGCTGCAGCAGCATCAGCAGTTGACCATGGTACCACGGTATTTTGATATTTCTCACCCTTTTTACCACAGGGTTGGCACTAGAAGCTTTCTTGGGGCCCATGGTCACTTATTTTGCAGATAAAATCACCAAAAACACTGTAATAATACGAAATGTTACGATTGTATGCTTGGATGTTACCGCGGAGGCTGGCCTGTAACCAATGCCACCGGCGGAACATGCGAGGCTGGCTCAGGCCTCACATAGACGTGTCTCGGACGAACAGCGTTGAGCGGGTTTTTTAGCGGTATGCGAGGCAAAATCTTAGCGATAAAATGTATCGGTATGCGGATTTAACGTTATGTAAGGCCAACGGTATGCGGGGGTCCACTGTATATCACTGAAATCACTAACCTCATCAGAGCATAATTCCGTAAGTTTTCCATCAAATTTTTTACTTTTGGTGTCATTAGCATCGGGAAAAGATTCTCTATCATTTCATAAGAAATTTTTTTTTTTTTCTTCAAATATTTTGTGACAGAATGACAGTTTCAGAAATGGGCTTGCGACAGTCAAAGGGTTATTGCCACACAAAAAAAGGTTTTAACATAATTTTTTCAATATTTGTTTTTGTTTTCAGGCTGTTCCAATTACTGAGTCATTTCCATATGAACCCAATGAATTCTGGGTCATCAAAACTGGTGCAGTGGAGCCAGGCAGTTTCCAGATTACTCTGAAGTTTTCAGGATCACTTCAGAGAGGCATTTTGGGCTTATACTATTCTGAATACACTGATGGACCAGGAAATAAAAGGCATGTAATTTATTTTTTTTATTTAAAAATATCACAGTGAAAACAGAAAAATGAATGCTTTCATGTGCTTACACAATTTTCAAATTTCTTCCATAATTTTATATATAATATATATATATTTTTTTTTTTTTTTTTTCACCAAGTCGGCCGTCTCCCACCGAGGCAGGGTGACCCAAAAAAGAATGAAAATCCCCAAAAAGAAAATACTTTCATCATCATTCAACACTTTCACCACACTCGCACATTATCACTGTTTTTGCAGAGGTGCTCAGAATACAACAGTCTAGAAGCATACACATATAAAGATACACAACATATCCCTCCAAACTGCCAATATCCCTAACCCCTCCTTTAAAGTGCAGGCATTGTACTTCCCATTTCCAGGACTCAAGTCCGACTATATATATATATATAATATATGTCAAAGTGGGAAGTCTGAATGTGGGTGGATGTTGTGCAGATGATAAGAGAGATGATTGTGGATGTTATGAATGAGAAGAAGCTGGATGTCCTGGTTTTAAGTGAAACAAAGCTGAAGGGGGTGGGAGAGTTTCAGTGGAGAGGAATAAATGGGATTAGGTCAGGGGTTTCAAATAGAGTTAGAGCTAAAGAAGGAGTAGCAATAATGTTGAAGGATAAGCTATGGCAGGAAAAGAGGGACTATAAGTGTATTAATTCAAGGATTATGTGGAGTAAAATAAAGATTGGATGTGAAAAGTGGGTTATAATAAGCGTGTATGCACCTGGAGAAGAGAGAAGTGTAGAGGAGAGAGAGAGATTTTGGGAAATGTTGAGTGAATGCGTGGGGAGTTTTGAATCAAGTGTGAGAGTAATGGTGGTTGGGGATTTCAATGCTAAAGTGGGTAAAAATGTTATGGAGGGAGTAGTAGGTAAATTTAGGGTGCCAGGGGTAAATGTAAATGGGGAGCCTTTAATTGAGCTATGTGTAGAAAGAGATTTGGTAATAAGTAATACATATTTATGAAAAAGAGGATAAATAAATATACAAGGTATGATGTAGCACGTAATGAAAGTAGTTTATTAGATTATGTATTGATGGATAAAAGGTTGATGGGTAGGCTCCAGGATGTACATGTTTATAGAGGGGCAACTGATATATCGGATCATTATTTAGTTGTAGCTACAGTTAGAGTAAGAGGTAGATGGGAAAACAGGAAGGTGGCAACAACAAGTAAGAGGGAGGTGAAAGTGTATAAACTAAGGGAGGAGGAAGTTCGGGCGAGATATAAGCGACTATTGGCAGAAAGGTGGGCTAGTGCAAAGATGAGTAGTGGGGGGGTTGAAGAGGTTGGAATAGTTTTAAAAATGCAGTATTAGAATGTGGGGCAGAAGTTTGTGGTTATAGGAGGGTGAGGGCAGGAGGAAAGAGGAGTGATTGGTGGAATGATGAAGTAAAGGGTGTGATAAAAGAGAAAAAGGTAGCTTATGAGAGGTTTTTACAAAGCAGAAGTGTTATAAGAAGAGCAGAGTATATGGAGAGTAAAACAAAGGTAAAGAGTGGTGAGAGAGTGCAAAAGGAGAGCAGATGATTGAGTGGGAGAGGCACTGTCAAGAAATTTTAATGAAAATAAGAAAAAATTTTGGAGTGAGTTAAACAAGTTAAGAAAGCCTAGGGAAAGTATGGATTTGTCAGTTAAAAACAGAGTAGGGGAGTTAGTAGATGGGGAGATGGAGGTATTACCTGGAGAGTTTACCTGGAGAGAGTTCCGGGGGTCAACGCCCCCGCGGCCCGGTCTGTGACCAGGCCTCCTTAGGTCAGTGTCCCAGGATGCGACCCACACCAGTCGACTAACACCCAAGTACCCATTTTACTGATGGGGAACATAGACAACAGGTGGAAAGAAACACGTCCAATGTTTCTACTCTGGCTGGGAATTGAACCCAGGCCCTCACCGTGTGAAGCGAGAGCGTTAACCACCAGGCCACCAGAGCCTGGTGGCGAAAATATTTTGAGGAACTTTTAAATGTTAAGGAAGAAACAGAGGCAGTAATTTCATGCACTGGTCAGGGAGGTATACCATCTTTTAGGAGTGAAGAAGAGCAGAATATAAGTGTGGGGGAGGTACGTGAGGCATTACGTAAAATGAAAGGGGGTAAAGCAGCTGGAACTGATGGGATCATGACAGAAATGTTAAAAGCAGGGGGGGATATAGTGTTGGAGTGGTTGGTACTTTTGTTTAATAAATGTATGAAAGAGGGGAAGGTATCTAGGGATTGGCGGAGAGCATGTATAGTCCCTTTATATAAAGGGAAAGGGGACAAAAGAGACTGTAAAAATTATAGAGGAATAAGTTTACTGTGTATACCAGGAAAAGTGTACGGTAGGGTTATAATTGAAAGAATTAGAGGTAAGACAGAATGTAGGATTGCGGATGAGCAAGGAGGTTTCAGAGTGGGTAGGGGATGTGTAGATCAAGTGTTTACATTGAAGCATGTATGTGAACAGTATTTAGATAAAGGTAGGGAAGTTTTTATTGCATTTATGGATTTAGAAAAGGCATATGATAGAGTGGATAGAGGAGCAATGTGGCAGATGTTGCAAGTATATGGAATAGGTGGTAAGTTATTAAATGCTGTAAAGAGTTTTTATGAGGATAGCGAGGCTCAGGTTAGGGTGTGTAGAAGAGAGGGAGACTACCTCCCGGTAAAAGTAGGTCTTAGACAGGGATGTGTAATGTCACCATGGTTGTTTAATATACATGTATTTATAGATGGGGTTGTAAAGGAAGTAAATGCTAGGGTGTTCGGGAGAGGGGTGGGATTAAATTTTGGCGAATCAAATTCAAAATGGGAATTGACACAGTTACTTTTTGCTGATGATACTGTGCTTATGGGAGATTTTCAAGAAAAATTGCAAAGGTTAGTGGATGAGTTTGGGAATGTGTGTAAAGGTAGAAAGTTGAAAGTGAACATAGAAAAGAGTAAGGTGATGAGGGTGTCAAATGATTTAGATAAAGAAAAATTGGATGTCAAATTGGGGAGGAGGAGTATGGAAGAAGTGAATGTTTTCAGATACTTGGGAGTTGACGTGTCGGTGGATGGATTTATGAAGGATGAGGTTAATCATAGAACTGACGAGGGAAAAAAGGTGAGTGGTGCGTTGAGGTATATGTGGAGTCAAAAAACGTTATCTATGGAGGCAAAGAAGGGAATGTATGAAAGTATAGTAGTACCAACACTCTTATATGGGTGTGAAGCTTGGGTGGTAAATGCAGCAGCGAGGAGACGGTTGGAGGCAGTGGAGATGTCCTGTTTAAGGGCAATGTGTGGTGTAAATATTATGCAGAAAATTCGGTGTGTGGAAATTAGGAAAAGATGTGGAGTTAATAAAAGTATTAGTCAGAGGGCAGAAGAGGGGTTGTTGAGGTGGTTTGGTCATTTAGAGAGAATGGATCAAAGTAGAATGACATGGAAAGCATATAAATCTGTAGGGGAAAGAAGGCGGGGTAGGGGTCGTCCTCGAAAGGGTTCGAAAGAGGGGGTAAAGGAGGTTTTGTGGGCAAGGCGCTTGGACTTCCAGCAAGCGTGCGTGAGCGTGTTAGATAGGAGTGAATGGAGACGAATGGTACTTGGGACCTGACGATCTGTTGGAGTGTGAGCAGGGTAATATTTAGTGAAGGGATTCAGGGAAACCGGTTATTTTCATATAGTCGGACTTGAGTCCTGGAAATGGGAAAATACAATGCCTGCACTTTAAAGGAGGGGTTTGGGATATTGGCAGTTTGGAGGATATGTTGTGTATCTTCATATGTGTATGCTTCTAAACTGTTGTATTCTGAGCACCTCTGCAAAAACAGTGATAATGTGCGAGTGTGGTGAAAGGGGTTGAATGATGATGAAAGTATTTTCTTTTTGGGGATTTTCTTTCTTTTTTGGGTCACCCACCTCGGTGGGAGACGGCCGACTTGTTGAAAAAAAAAAAAAAAAATATATATATATATATAAAAATATATATTTTATATATTATATATTTTATATATTATATATTATATATATATATATATTTTTATATATATATAATATAATAAAATTATTTATTTATTTTTATTAGGTGTCCCTAAACATTCGCGAGGGTTAGGGGATCAAGAGCCTCGCGAATGTTAAAAAAAACGTGAATGTTTGGTGCCCAATATATTGTAGGGAATACAATACTGCTTAACTTGTTGAACCATGAACAATCATAAAATACATGAAAACGTCGTAAGTTGTACTAAATATAACATGTTATGCTTTAATAAAAATGTATTTTTATTAAATACCACAGACTCCACCACTTCCTCAACCAATGCGAGTCCCTACTACCCTCCCTCCGACCACCGCAACTGGCAGCCAGCCCTCCCCACCACTCAGTGTGGTGAGGTTTTGTTTGTTCATTATTTGCTATAAACTACAGTATAAATAATGTAAACGCATTCATGACTGCATATGGAATGGCTACTTGAACAGGTATTGGAAGGTGACATCATGTGTTTACTCTTGAACACAGCAAAGAACCCAAACATTTCTGCTACGCTAATAATAAAAATAGTAGTAGTAATAATAATAATAATAATAATAATAATAAAATAATAAAATATACGATATAATTGAAAAAGGAAATTTTTAACAAAAAATACGAGGGAGTGGTTGACACATCGTCAGTGTGGCTTTGTTTATTTGGAGTGAACATTAGTCTCCGTGCTCTTCCAAACATTTCACAAAAATTTCAGCGGTTGAGGCAGGGGTAGAGGCAGGGGTAGAGGCAGTGATAGAGGCAGTGATAGAGGCAGTGATAGAGGCAGTGGGTGAGGCAGTGGTATTTACTAACATATACGAGTTATAAATAATAATAGTACTTGTTAATATTAATAACATTTACACTAATAATAATAAATGTTATTTCATAATGTACTTTTATTATTTATAACATATGTGTTAGTAAATATCACTGCCTCTATCGCTGCCTCTACCACTGCCTCTGCCTCTACCTCTGCCTCTAC